CCAGAGGCCTGGGGGAGGCCATTTTCACCCTCCCAGAGGCCTGGGGGTGGCCTCCAGACTCTTGGGAGGGCGAAAAATGGCACTCCCATAAGTACCGGAAGTTCAGAAATGGCCTGTTTCTGGCTTCTGGTGGGCCTCCGGAACCCAGGAGAGGCTGTTTTTGGCCCAGGGGAAGCCTCCGGACTCTTGCGAGGTTGAAATTCCAGTAGGCCATGCCCACCATGGCCATGGCCACCCAGCAGCCAGGCAGCAACCCAGTTACTGGGATTTTTGAATCCCACCCCTGGACAGAACATTTATATGGCAAATAGAAATACACATCCTCTGTCAAACTACCAGCTTATTTCCCTAGCTGCTATAAAGGAATAGGGAATAGTACAATATTGTGATATTGAGCTCAGTAATATAAAATGTTGGGGTGGGGAGGCAAATGTACAGCTCTCATTCTTGGTGACAATGACCCCATAACCAAATTAAGGGTTAAAGATACAGGTGAAACTCGAAAAATTAGAATATAGTGCAAAAGTTCATTTATTTCAGTAATGCAACTTAAAAGGTGAACCTAATATATGAGATAGATTCATTACATGCAAAGCAAGATAGTTCAAGCCGTGATTTGTCATAATTGTGATGATTATGGCTTACAGCTCATGAAAACCCCAAAACTACAATCTCAGAAAATTAGAATATTACATGCAATCAATAAAACAAGGATTGTACGTAGAACAATATCGGACCTCTGAAAAGTATAAGCATGCATATGTACTCAGTACTTGGTTTGGGCCCCTTTTGCAGCAATTACTGCCTCAATGCGGCGTGGAATGGAAGCTAATCAGCCTGTGGCACTGCTGAAGTGTTATGGAAGACCAGGATGCTTCAATAGCAGCCTTTAGCTCTTCTGTATTGTTCACTCTCAGGTCTCTCATCTTTCTCTTGGCAATGCCCCATAGATTCTCTTCAGGCGAATTTGCTGGCCAATCAAGCACAGTAATCCCACGGTCATTGAACTGGGTTTTGGTGCTTTTGGCAGTGTGAGCAGGTGCCAAGTCCTGCTGGAAAACGAAGTCAGCATTCCCATAAAGCTCATCTGCGGAAGGAAGCATGAAGTGCTCCAAAATCTCCTGGTAGATGGCTGCGTTGACCTTGGACTTAATGAAGTACAGTGGACCAACACCAGCAGATGACATGGCTCCCCAAATCAACACAGACTGTGGAAACTTCACACTGGACTTCAAGCATCTTGCAGTGTGTGCCTCTCCATTCTTCTTCCAGACTCTGGGTCCTTGGTTTCCAAATGAGATACAAAAAATGCTCTCATCAGAAAAGAAGACTTTGGACCACTGAGCAACAGACCAGGTCTGTTTTTCTTTAGCCCAGGCAAGATGCTTCTGACATTGTTTGTTGTTCAGGAGCGATTTGACAAGAGGAATACGACATTTGAAGCCCATGTCCAAGATCCGTCTGTGTGTGGTGGCTCTTGATGCACTGACTCCAGCCTCAGTCCACTCCTTGTGAAAGTCCCCAACACTTTTGAATGGCCTTTTCCTGACAATCCTCTCCAGGCTGCGGTCATCCCTGCTGCTTGTGCACCTTTTTCTTCCACACTTTTCCCTTCCACATAACTTTCTATTAATGTGCAGCACTTTGGGAACATCCAACTTCTTTTGCAATTACCTTTTGAGGCTTTCCCTCCTTATGGAGGGTGTCAATGATGGTTTTCTGCACAACTGTCAGGTCAGCAGTCTTTCCCATGATTGTGCTTCCTATTGAACCATACTGAGAGGCCATTTAAAGGCTCAGGAACCCTTTGCAGGTGTTATGGCTTAATTAGCTGATTAGAGTGGGACATTTTGAGTCTAGAATATTGAACCTTTTCACAATATTCTAATTTTCTGAGATTGTGGATTTGGGGTTTTCATAAGCTGTAAGCCATAATCATCTCAATTATGACACATCACAGCTTGAACTATCTTCCTTTGCATGTAATGAGTCTATCTCATATATAAGGTTCACCTTTTAAGTTGCATTACTGAAATAAATGAACTTTTGCACGATATTCTAATTTTTCGAGTTTCATTTGTATGCTCAAAGGACAAACCAGGGTTAGACAACCTGACATGCTTCAGATTTGGGTCAATTCTCATTGGCTCTTATTTTTACTGCATTGGTCAAGGCTTATGGGAGTTGTTAGTGGATTTTTCGTTACTTACTATTGCAACAAATAATCTTACATCCAATGTTATTGCTCATAACAATGGAAAGTACAACTGATATTTGCTCCCTTTTCCTTGGCTAATGACTAGACATTGCTATGAGGAAACATGTTTGATGATTATGGGATGGGTTCAGTAATTCCAGAGATAGGCAGGATAGACCATCCAAATCACCCATTGGTCCACACATTTTACTTTCCCCCTGTTCTTCCTTCCCCCATCAACTTCACAGCCGCAAGCATTTCCATCATGGAGGGACTTCCTCATCATTTCCCTCCCACAGAATTTCAATCAATGCGGGCTGGGAGATGTTTCAATCTCTTTGTTCTCTCCATATGCCAGGTGGGTCTGTGCAGAGGATTTGGGTTCTGCTTCAATACCTACTGCAATCTGATGTTCTTCAGATGCACGAGACTTCAACTGTCAGAATTCCTCCTCCAACTACAGTTAAAATCCAATACATCAAGAAGATACCAGGTTTTGAGAAGATCGTGCCACTTAATTGTTCAGCACCCCCGAGAGTCCCAGGTTTCGGTGTTGTAGACACTGCCCTTTCACTTATTTTCTGAGTAAGCTTTTCAAGAGAAAAAGGAACCTACATAGAGGTGACTTTTGCTGTATACACCATTGGCATCCAGGTGGCAGCGGCCGTCATTGGGCATATGGATCCCCGCCAATTTTCCATCCCCTGCAGTGTGGAAAGTGCCATCCGAAGTGAAAACCAGCAGACTTGTCACATTACGCCAGCCAATCTGCTCCTGGAAAGACAGAGCGAGGATCAGGTGAGATCTCCCACATTCAAAACAGCAACTTCAATTACATCAATGTTTTCAATCTGAATACTCATTCGCCATGTCTCAGGAGTGCTGCATATTCAGAAGAGGTTAAGATGCATTTGAATAAGGCTCGGGTCAAAATTCAAGATCTGTTAGACCTACCAATATCAAACCTCAGGTTTTGTCACTTGGTTTAATTTTTAGAAAGCAAGATTTCCAACTGAAAATGTGGAAAGCAGCAAACAAATCTAAGATAGCAGTGGCCAAAGTTTGAATGATCAGACTGTGTGCTGGCAATGAAATTTTGTGAAATTTTGCTTCAGATTGAGAAAAATTAGAAGTGGCTTCTGGTTGAGGATCTATGGTGGAGTAGACATCCCTGATGCCAGGATGGCATTGCTGCAGAAGTGGACAGCCAGTACCAGTGGTGGGATTCCAAAAATTTTTACTACCGGTTTACTACTGGGCATGGCTTGGTGGGCATGGCTTGGTGGGCGTGGCAGGGGAAGGATACTGTAAAATCTCCATTCCCTCCCCATTCCTAGGGGAAGGATACTGCAAAATCCCATTCCCTTCCCACCCCACTAACCTGCTTTCCAGCTCCGTTCTCCTGTGCAGGGCAACTAAAGAAGACCCAGCCAATCAGCTGGGACTTGGGAGGCAGAGAATAGATGGGGGAGGGGCCAGTCAGATGTGGTATTCTGAACTACTCAAAATTTCCACTACCGGTTCTCCGAACTACTCAAAATTTCTTCTACCGGTTCTCCAGAATTCACCAGAACCTGTTGAATACCACGTCTGGCCAGTACAGTCTTTCTGGGTAAAGGAGAGATTGTGAGATTGCCTACTTGCATTCCGTACAACTGCTCTTCATGAAGAGATGGCAGAAACTGAGGGTTTTGTGGTTGACCCGAGAGTTGAGCAGTGGGGAGGGCTTTTAATCAAGCTCACAGTCATAATGCAACTTATATGGATACAAGGTTTGTGCAAGCCTCAGTTTCTTAAACACTTTCGGATATAATTAATTTACAGCTAAAGAGAGATTGTTTGAGCAGCAGGGTAAGCTTATTCCACTTTGGTGAGTCAACATTCTTTCTGGATTACAAAGGTATTTAAAGATTTTTAAATGCTTTGTGAAAAGTCTAACAAGGAGTAGGTATACGTTTAAAACAAAGGGAGGGAGGGAGGGAGGGAGGGAGGAAGGAAGGAAGGAAGGAAGGAAGGAAGGAAGGAAGGAAGGAAGAGACCTGGTCTGCATAATGCTAGCCTCATAGCTATCTAATGCAGTGGTCCCCAACCTTTTTTGTACCAGGAACCAGCGGCCCGGTACAAAATGATCCACAGACCGGTACCGGCATCAGCACACATGACCAAGGCAAGGCGAGCTGAGCAACCGGCCAGCCAGCCGTCGCTCACTTCTCCCCGCCACCTTCAACTCCTCCTTTGTACCTTCTCGTGGTTGATGGGCTTTTCGGGCTCTTTCTTAATCTCCTCCTGAGTAACGCGAGACTCCACCGCCATTGGGACAGCTCTTTGTTCGAAGCCGCCCCCCCCCCTTCAATGAAACTAAGGCGCAAGGATTCCTTCAGCACCCAAATGCCGCTTTCCGACGACCGACAAGCTCACCCAGAAGCACTTTCTCAAGCACCGTCGAAACAAGATGGCGGTGCCCAAGCAAAGTAGGCGGCCTGGTACAAAATGATCCACGGACCGGTACCGGTCTGGGGCCCGGTGGTTGGGGACCCCTGATCTAATGGATTTAGCAAGCCTAAGAGCTATCCAGAGTAAGGAAGGAGGTATATTATTTTCCACAGGAAAAATATCAAAATAATTCTTTCTTTGAGAGCAAGTGGGAAGGAAGGAACTCCTTGAGAATGTCCTGATTTTGCTGTGGGGAAAAATAGTCAAAATTTTGAATGAAGTATTAAAATATAAGCAGTTACCAAACTTGGGGGGCAAACACATATAATGGGGGAATAAGTTTATAAAGTTTGACATGGTATAGAAAAAGCAGCTAGAGAAAGAGGTTTCTTTCTCATTCTATCTCTCAGAAAGGGATTAAGGTGCCATCCATGGAAACTGAGTAAAAAAAGAATAAGTTCTGCTTAACTCATAGTTTAGTCTGCTCTGGTAGGACTGTTCTGCTGGTTATGACAAGTTAGAAAAGTTAATAATGGTATTAATCAGTTGATGTTTAGTAGCCTTTACCTTGAAAGTTGAATCCTGGATAAATTGTGAAAATGGAGAAGCCTTATTAGGATGGGACCTTTCTTACTGCTCTTCCTAGCACAGGGCAACATGGATACAATTCACTTGAGCACCTCAGAGGCCAGAGGGTTACAGACATCTGGGTTGGAGGTACCTTGCCAGCAGGTGCTCCACAGTTATTGAAGACTGTGAGCTCAGGGCTTCTGCTACACTCACCTTGCAAACGGCTGCCTGCATGAGAGCATCAAAGCCTCCTTCTGCGTCATCCAGGTTGGCTGAGATGTGCTGCTGACCAACCCTGCTTTCAAACTCACTGGCGTTCTCAGTCAGAGCAAGCACATGCCTATAGCTGAAAGCCGGCTGGCAGTTCTCCTTTGGGATTTGGCAGGGATGTTTCTGCTTGGAAGGAACCATATTCACATAAGGCAGCACGGTCTTGTCCACAAAGGCACCAAATCCTGCAAGAAAAAGATCTTCGGTCTTCCTCAGCCTGTGTACACATTGCAAGGCTGCTCATGGATTCCCACCATTTTCTCTTCCACACAGTCCTAAAGTCAGGGTGGGGGGCAGAGGTGGTATTGGGCAGGTTCTGACCAGTTCTGGAGAACCAGTAGCAGAAATTTTGAGTAGTTAGGAGAACCGGCAAATACCACTTCTGACTGGCCCCGCCCCCATCTATTCTCTGCCTCCCAAATCCCAGCTGATTGGCTGGGTTTTCTTTTGTTGCCCTGCACAGGAGAATGGAGCTGGAAAGCAGGATAGTGGGGTGGGGAGGGAATGAGATTTTGCAGTAACCTTCCTCCAGGAGTGGGGAGGGAATGGGGATTTTACAGTATCCTTCCCCTGCCATGCCCACCAAGCCACACCACGCCTCCAAGCCACGCCCACAGAACCAGTAGTAAAAAAATTTCAATCCCAACACTGATGGCGGGAGAATTGTAGTTTCACACATGCAAGATTCTATTAATGTTTTCTGCCTGGCAGTGGTGGGATTCAAATTTTTTTACTACCGGTTCTGTGGGCGTAGCTTGGTGGGCGTGGCAGGGAAAGGATACTGCAAATCTCCAGTCAGAGGTTGTATTTGCCGGTTCTCCGAACTATTCAAAATTGCTGCTACCAGTTCTCCAGAACTGGTCAGAACCTGCCAAATACCACCTCTGCTGCCTGGCCTACTTAAAATAAATGAGTCCAAAGTCAAACTAGTTCTAGTTTTCATGTATGGTTGGGAATACTTTTTACATCTTTTCTTCTAAGGCTTGCACTGACCTATGATGCCTTTCCTTCTGTGCTTCCCCGGTCAGAGTTTTGACTACATACCAATCTTCACTGAGGTAGTAACTTCACGCAGGGCAGCCATCAAGTCACTTCCCAGTTGCTTGATATTCTCCAGGTCATCCTTCATGGAGTAGGACAAGTCCATGAGGTAGTAGAGGTCCACAGGATAACCCTCAGCCCGTTTGAAGCGGACAGTGAAACTCTGTTCCTTTCCTACAGGCACAGAAGGGAGGAAGGAAGGAAGGAAAGAAAGAAGATGTGTCTGGCCTAGGAAGGAATGGGAGGAACATTCCTATTGGCAAGCTATTCAGATCAGGCAGATTCTTTAGAGTCTGGAGGGTTTCCCCTCCCCCCCAACTTACCAGGCCGAAGCTGAAGAACTATTCTTTGGGGTG